AGTGGTTGTTGACACGACGTAACGTATCTGAAAATTGGTTAGATTAGTACGGATTTTCTTGTTCTTTATCTTGTAGTTTTTTTTAGAATTTAATACGTTACTTCACGCCCTCTATTCCAGGCTTTTGTATAATTCTTTCGACCTCTATATCTTCTATATTTGATCTTTATTATCATTTATGCCAATTATCTAAAAATAGACTTTGTTATTATTTCCATTCAACTGTGTGATGATGTAAATTAGTGTTCCTATTTGAACTTATGCATATTTGTACCATGTTCTACGTATTTAATATAATACTGATTAATTTTCACGTAATTGAACAAGATATTAGTTGTGTACATATAACCACTGAAACACATTCATAGTGCTAACAAAAATATACAGATATAAGCAGATAATAAATATGTTTTCAGAAAGGGAATTTTATGGATATTATAGCAATTTTAATAGTTGAATTCATAAGTCAATTAAAGCTGAACTACCATGGAAAACCTGGAATCACTAAACGGCTGTTTTGTCTTAGTATGGGACTCCTCAGCAGTGCGCATCCACGATCCCGCCTGAGGCATTCGTACCTAGAACCTATCAGTTTCATACGTGAAAGCCTAACCACTAGATCACTGAGCCGGCAGTCGACGGTGAATCCGATAAATTCTGGATTCGAATGCTGAGGGTGAGATCGTGGATGCGTACTGCTGAGAATTATCGTACTAGAACGAAATGGTCATCTAGTGCTTCCACGTTTTCTATGGTGATCTAGCTTTAATTGACTCATAAATTCAACTATTGAAATTAATAAATATGTGATGACAACATTCTTGTTGAATTCTACAATTTAATTGTCAACTTAAACGATGTATATAAGATGTTTATGTTTTATATTATATTCTCTTTTATATTGATTATAATATAATTGAATGATTTTTTCTGGTTAGCGCTTTTTTAGCGAGTTAGTTCTCTACGGGATAAGGTCGCTAACCTCCCATGCCCAAGCCTCCTCCTTTATCCGGGCTTTGGGATCGGCAGTAGCCTCCGGAGGGACTCCAGGCGGAGTTTTTATACTGATTACATTGTTAATTTTAATTGGTTTAAGATATAGAAATTGTTTCAATGTAAAAACGATTTGTTTATATTTAATGAAACTCTCTTTCTTCAAGTTGTAAATTGATTATACTTTGTAATTTATTTGATTATTTTGTCATATGGTTTATTTAATTGTCCAATTTCTAGATATACTATAGTACTTTATTATTTTAGATTAGTTCCTTTAAAACAAAGTTTCATTACTTTTCTGTCAGAAAATCAATTTGATTTGACATATATATATGTATAATAATCATACAGTCTTGTGAGCTGAATCTCAGTTTATGGATATGTTGATCATATAAACACTGATAGATGGATATGGAGGATTCACCTAAAGAGGAGTTAGAAAACTCTGATTCCAAACCAAATGGTGTATATGAACTACAGAATCCTAAGGAAATAAATGACGTATGAACCGATTGATGATCACCAGCTACCATAGAACCACATCTGTTTACTTTGATCCACTTGCTTGTGGATTAGACCTTTAGATCGAAGGTTCAGGATGTGGTCCCCTTAAGAAAACCACCTGGATAGTATCCTAATCCTCACATAAATTGAATGATTTATGTAGCATATATCTATTCGGTACCTCGTTGTACCAATGTTTACGTAATAGGTGAGCTATAATTAGATAGTTTTTTTCTTTCATATATTGCTTAATGTTTACAGGTCATTAATATAGTTATATAATGATGAATGTTGATTTCATACAAATCATTTTATATTTAGTAATCAAATACAATTCACCTTATCACTGATCAATGTATCTAATTGAAATATTTATTGTTAATATCAGTTACATAATTGACCTCTTGACTTTTTTGTCTAGAATGTTAATAAAAGGTTTCATGATCAAATTACTAATTTTACATAGTGGAATGTCATTCAATTCTTCACTATCTTAAATAGACATGGAAATTAGAAACAAATAATAAAAGAAAGAAGAAATCTGTTAAGCAAAGATGGATATTGGATAAGAGTGGAAATTCAGTTTGACTAGCGTTTCGTCCTACTTGGGACTCGTCAGTTGATTGTACTTTTAGTCACAAATAGAATGAAATGTGCGTCAAACTGGATTCCACTCTTGGCCACTATCCATCTTTACTTATAAAGCTTATGACTTAAGGCTATATTGAGGCAATCGGCATAGGATGTACATATGCCAACAAGAGACTGATCAATTACAGTTTTAAATAACAATCGGAAGATACAGGTAAAAAAATACGAAGTGAAATAAAAAGAAATCTGTTTAGTTTAAACATTGTAATATAGGCATTATGGATTAAGTTTATTTCATGTATTCTATTTAGTGAATATATAACTCTGTTTTATCGTAATGTTTTAGAACGTAATTTCAGTGCATCTAATTGTTCGTACCACTATTGACCTGATCTGCTTCATTAAAATAGGATTAATTTAATAAATATATCAATCAGCTTGTAATTATGTCAAATGAGTTGTTATCATTCACATGATTTGCACCTAATTAGTCGATTAGTGAAACTTCATCAGTTGAGATGGCTGGGATACGTGTTACGTATGCCCAATCACCGACTGCCTCGACGTGCGATATTCAGTGGTATAGGAATAGGCTGGAAGAATGCTAGAGGCGGCCAGACCAAAACATGACACAGGTCCATGAAGTCACTGACAAATGGACTGAGTCATATTGGTAGGTGTAGACTACCTGCTTGGGATCCGCGAGATGATAGCAAGCGGTGGTTCGAGACCCTGGATGACATGGCTTAAAATCGTTTGTAATGGCACAGGTGCATCCACTCTTTGTGTCCTCCGAAATTCTAATCTGAATCCTTCTTGTCTCTCTTTTTCTCTTTCCGAATTTATTTCACTGAATTATACTCGTTGAATACCCGATCGAAGCTGCTACCTTGACGCGGTGGTCGGGCTTGCCTATCGTGATGACCCAACCGAGCTATATTGGCTGGAACATATGTTCCTGCAGGTTCTACCATGCCAGGCAGGTCGATTGGTGAACGGTAAGACTAAAAGCAGCAACTGAAGGTCTGAGGGCGAAGTCGTACTGCTGACTGTAGAGGGGTGTGACAGCAGTAAGGTGTAGAGATGGTGGAGAAGATTTGTAGCTCAGGTGGATGATTTCGGTGGAGTTTTGTTCTCTGAGCTGGATGGTTTGGTCGTGGAGCTTTCATCGTTCTTCTGAACGACATCATCAGCACAAACTTCAGATAGAAGTCTGAAGTTTGTGCTGATGATGTCGTTCAGAAGAACGATGAAAGCTCCACGACCAAACCATCCAGCTCAGAGAACAAAACTCCACCGAAAGCAGTAAGGTGTTTCCCTCGGACATCCAGCATGACAGCGATGCTGCCTTCCCACAACGAGGGGTGGGATTAGAAAAGGTCGACCCTAAAAAATGTCACACCTCACCTTACCTCACGGATTTCCGTCTCCGGCGGTAAGGCCCTTTGAAGAACGGAGCTAACACGTCGAAAACCTTCCACAAAAAGGCCGTGCGCGACCGGCCTCAAGCAGTTGTCCCTTGGGCTCTGCGGTCACGCTCTCAGGTCGTCAAGACCAACACTAATCCAATTTCCTTTTCAGGTTCCTCAAGAAACACCCTTCCACGGTGTGGGCAGCCGGGAAGTGATATCAGCCCTCATACCCGTAACAGCACAAGAGACTGACTCGTTGAATAATATCTTCAAACCCTAATGTTTCCGATTACTGCTTATACTTTTGCTACCTCTACGACTACGCGATTTGAATCGACAACTGCATCTCTGTGCTAATGTGGTGTGGCATGTCGAACTGATGTACGTACGTACGTACGTACGTACGAAGTTCCACGTTGTTACTGACTGAATTAGTCGATTAAACAAGCGCGATTATAAATGACAAACTTATCCAAATATATCACCTATGAATAATTATTTTGATGGCAACCGTGCATGACGTGAGGTTGTAATCGATAGTCGTGCAGTTGGTTAAATTACGTCTTTAGTAGATCGCCAATTTCTTCACTCGCATAACTTAGTGTAGATGTAATAATAATCTAAGTGTAATTTTATGTATCAAGTAAGATTGCTGAATTGTTTTCCCCTTGTCTAATGTAACGATATATGCCTTTTGTTATCCTTCACATGATTCTTTAAAGTTTTAATCTCCACTCTTACTATCCACAAAAATACTTCTCTGAGTGATAAAAACTAGATTTAATATAACTATTGTCTGTTGATGTTAAATGATTAGAAGTACCTTTCAGAGAAGCCTGGACCTAGGTTTTATGCTAGATAAAGTTTGCCATCACAATAATTTTCCAAACTTAAGGGAGACTGATACTGTTCTTGTTATTCAAAATAGGCATTGCTCAGAGTGTTGTCAGAGACAATGCCGCTGATCTGTCCGGTTCTCAACTGACCTTCTATATGACATGTTTTCACACTGAGTGATCAATTAGTAGATATCATTCTTGTAATTGTCCATTACTTGGTGCCGATCGAATTCTCTTGCTCGAGCTACAAAATGAACACTAATCCAAATGACGTTTGGTAATTCTTCTTCGAATTCACCACAGTATCATCCACAGTACCTTGTTGAGATATACCGATAAGTATGAAGTATTATTCCATAATTTCTTGCCTACTTACCTTTGATAATACAATGTAAAACACAGAAGTCTTGTAATATTGAATCACTTAAAGTAATAAATGGAAGTTTGGTCAGCCAAATTCTGTATTCCTTAGTAGTCCATAACTAATGTGTGTAAATTATCGTCTGCACATATAAATGACATAATTATATTGCTACTTTATTTGTTAATCTCTGTTTACTCATTAAATAACTTACCTTTTTTTTTCTCCCTCTCTCCCTCCCTTTGTCTAAACATAATCTCCAGGCTGTATATCTCATGAACAATAAACATATGTAAGAAGATAACCATGGTGACTACTTTCCTTTTTATAAATTCCAGAACAAACAAACAAAAAATAGCTCAAATATTATTTACCCCTTATTTTTACTCATCTATTTTATATCTTATGAATGAATAATAATAATAATATTTTTCCAATTTTATTTTGAAAAACTTTTTTTCTACTTATATCCACCGTCTCCCCCCCTCCACCTCCACCCCTTTCTTTGTTTATGTTTTTGTTGTCAGATTAATTATGTAAAAATGTTTATACTACTTAAAACTGTTTTATAAGTAGTCATTGATTTGGTTATTTTGTAAACCTTTTTTTTCTTTTTATCAAAACAAACAAACAATAATGATTATTATTATTATTATTATTATTATTATTATTATTATTATTTTATATTAATCATTAGACTTATATTTCTATATGGCATTTGTATTAGAATTAAATGGTGAAATATCATTTTATCAAATGAGGTTATACATAACAATCATGGGGTAAGCTAGAAAAATAATTTCTGAGTTAGATCATAGTTGTATGTTTGTGTGTGTGTGTGTTTTCTGTCTTCATACCTATCCATTGGACGATTATCTAATCTATCCATTAGTTTCTTCCTTTAACTCAATGACTATTATGTAATCTTAGTTGATAAGAAGAGTTTTAAATCCATGATATAATGTAATCTTTTCTATCCTTTTTATAGACTTATATATTTTCCATATATATAACTATAAATACCTTCATTTGAACAGATTCTTTTGACAGACATAATGAAAGAGAGAACCATTCATTCATATTGTACTTTATGTTTTATTCAATAAAACAATTGTATTAACTACCTACTTATTCATTACAATGTCATAACCTTTTAGATTAAAAAAACGTGTGCTCACTAGTGAATTGGCTTCAAGAGGTATATCCTGGAGTTCTAGTGAAAAGCAGTGATGATCAGTGGAGTTCAACCAGGTCTGTTATCGGATAGTAACTCACTGATGACAATGGTGGATATGTCGCTCAATTTCGTGGATTGGTTGAAGTTAGACATTATCACCGTTGGATACCAGCTGGCTCAGTAGTCTAGTGGTTAAGCGCTCTTATGCGACACTGATAGATTCTGGGTTCGAATCTTGAGAGGTGGGATCGTGGATGAGTACTTCTTAGGAGTCCAACAATAGGACGAAACGACCATCCAGTGCTTCCAGGTTCTCCATAGTGGTCTAGCTTCAACTGACTCATGATCTCAACCATTGAAATCACTATAATATCCACAAAACCCATCTGATAATAAAAAATTAATAATCTCATACTTGTTGGTTAATGTAGGTAATAATATATGTAGATCAATTATAATGATTAATATGAAAGAATTCCATATGAATGACATTTGTAAACTTAACTAATTGATCGATGTTTCGACTTTGATTTAGATAGTTATCATCAGTCTAAAATGTGAACTCTTCAAGGGTTGGACTCAAGCATTTCTGATATCTAATGATTTAGACTTTGTAGCATTTTGTTATTAACGATATCGATAGATGATATTTTAGAACAAGAAAGAAAAATGAGTTGAATCAATTACTTAATATGTCCTAGATGAGACTATAATTTATGGACGACCTTTGAGCGACGTTAAAGTGACCTTGAGGGTGTCCACCTAATAACCAGGATGAAATAAGGGTTATGGACCTGGGTGAGGAATTAGGATTATGATTCATAAGGAAATTCGCACCAAAATCTGAGAACTGTTATCTAAAAGTCGATTGCATGTGTGTGTATATGTGCATGCATTTGAAGTGTTAGACGTAGTGTGAAGTAACTTTGGATGGGACTTATCCATTTTTTGATATTTAGAACGATCAATAATGTATAGATGCTTCAATTTTCATCATAAAAGTAATGCCTCCGTTAACTCTGTTATTTTAGAAGGTGAATGCTAAGGAAATAGCTTTTTCTCAACCATATTACACTCTGTCCTCTCTGACTATGACTTGTTGTATTAAGAAACAAGAAGAACACAACCGGTAAAGTATTTTTACCTATAGCTTGTTCCCATTCATAAGTGTTTGTGAAGTCTTTCACTTTGGATATAAATATCTAAATATTTGACTAGTTTCTATTCAGATATGTATCTCTTGAACTAATGCTTCGATCTTCTTTAAAGATACACTTTTCTCAATATACTTGTGATTATACTTAACAAGTGACTATAATATACGAGTACGCTTGTAGAATGTACCTTATAAGAGTTTAAACTGATTCTGTTGGATCAAAATATCTATCTGATTATCATATACTATAAATAACATAACAGAAAAGTACAATGAGACGAAACCTTTATTCTTTTTAATACATTGCTCCAATTAGAAATCGGTCGAATGATAACTGTTTATGATCGGCCAAGAAATGACTTCTATTTCTAAGGTATGAGATATCACTGATAGGATCGATAGGTCCTGAGTTCAAATCTCTCAAGGTGAGATCGTGGATGCACACTGTCGAGGAGTCCCACAGTAGGATGAAACGGTCGTTCAAGTGATTCCAGGTTCTTCATGGTAGTCTAGCTTCAATTGACTCATGATCTCAACTATTAAAACTACTATAATATCCACAAAGCCCCCTTCTTATATATATATTCCTGATTCTGTTTACTGAATAATCTTCCTTTCTTTTTCTCAGTCTCTAAGCGATTTTGTTCATATAGAGAACGATTGCATATTAATATCGAAATTGGACAATACACGTTACAAAATCTATTCGTAAGTAAGTAATATGTTCAGCAATGACGACTTGATTCAAACTGATAAGCGACGGATACTTTAGTAGAAAAAGTGTTCAAAATTTCTATTGTGTTAATCATATCACAAACTATAGGGGGGGGGGAATCACTGTTTTCTGTTAAATTTATATTAGAATATGCTATTACATACAATTATATTCTGTAGTATCTGGTTCCATGTTAAACCAACATAAATGGCGTATAACCAATCGTTGGTCACTGGCTACCGTGTGACTTCATCTCCTTATACTGATCTACTTCCTTGTGGATCAGACCTTCAGGTCGAAGGCTATGGGTGTGGCCCCTAAAGAAAACCACCTGCTTCAGTTTGAGCACCCCGGCAGTATCACATCCTTCACACATATCAAATGAGATTTGTGTGGCGCATATGTATTTGATGCGTCCTTGTACCAATATCTATGTGTTAAAATAAATAAATAAATCTATCCATCTGTAGCTTATTTAAGTCTGACTATAAGTATTGAATCACACTTTATGGAATTAAGTTAGCTCAATCACCTTTTCTGCTACGCTTCGTTTTCTCTAGCTCATTTATCTAATCGTCTGTTTGGATCAAAGAGCATACGAAATATGCGTATTCAAAATTTATTCGCATATTTATACCCAATGGTAGTTCAGTGAAATGATGATGACTAAAGTATTCAATCTTGATTCAAAGGATTTCAAGTTTGAATACAGGATTATTTGTAAAGGTTTGGACAATCGGAGAGTATCATTAGCCGTTACATAAAACAAAATGCTTGAGTTCGTGGGCTATATTAATAAAAGTTGAGGATTTTACGACAAAGTTCATAAAATGAAAACATTTGACCTGATATGATGCATATACATTACATAGTACACGCACAGGCATAGATATTTCCGGTCTACAGTATACGTTTCATGCATAGACAAAAGTGGACACACTTTATAGTATACACAAAGGTATAGATGAAATTAACCATAGACCATAACCCAGTGACTTTGAAAAATGAATGAATATCAAGTATTCAAATCACTTTTGTCTGGAGTTCGTCTATTGACGATGTATCCATTCACGTTTATACCACAGAGGAGTTTAATGTCGGCCCCTGTGCACTGATTAACCTATATTCTACAACTATTCTCTCTGTTTCTCAACACAATTGATAAACCTTCCTTGAGATAATCTAATGAAGTACCTAAAGGAAAATTCTTTCTTCATCTATACATTTCACTTTTAACTATACGATACACTACTTCTGATAACTTATCAAAGTTTCACATAAGTTCATCAAACAAACTTCTACTATCTCCAGAGTAACACAGTAAGATATCGGTCAATCTTTACCCCCCCCCAGATCAGTATGGACAAAAACCGGTGCTTTCAATGTGATATGGTCACCGTCGGATCAGTATGAACCAATCATAAAATATTCGTAAATAATAGAACATATAAGAATACAGTATACATCAAATAATGAAGTTTGTTGGAAGGAAAAAGTAACTAATAGTACAACACCTAGATGTTGGACATATAACTAAATCATTTACAGTAAATTTCAAATAATCGTACTATGATCTTTTGATTAACACTTTATATGTTACAACTATTGACCAATGTTAATTGTTGCTGTCTTTCATTGTGCTCTTTGTAAGGTAGCTTTGTGTTTGTTGATCTACTGAGTTTTAAGGTGATAGTTTCTTAATACTAAAATATGTATATGTATTCAATTGAAGCGACGACTTAAACTATCTTTACTTACTTTACTTACGCTTAATACTCCTCGTGAAGGAGTATAAGCTGCCCATCAGCACTCGCTATCCAACTCTGTCCTAGTGAAACGACCTTTGCACACGAAATATATTTATCTCAGCATAAAAAAACATCGACAGAATACGATTCATGATAAAAACACAATCAGAAGTCAGCTTTGAGTATGTGTGTGTGTGTGTGTGTGTAAGAGAGTGAGAGTGAGAGACAGAGTATAATGATCAGTAGTATTCGAAATATTGTACTCACTAGGAATTCCCGAAACAATACAATTTGCACCAGACAGAATTAGATAAACACAAAAACGAACATGTTGTATATGAAATTCGAAATCAGCGGATAATCAAATACAAAAGAATCAAAGAGAATTTAAACAAACAACAAGAACACAATGTTTGAATGCCTATTCATATTCGATAGTGTATGTGATATTCAGATTGAAAAACGGCATTAATGTAATTCCAGTGTAAAAGAACACTGTGCATGAATATTTGTTCATGTATTTTTAATGATATGAATAAGTTGCATACTAAATAAACCTTCATTCATATGAAACTATCTAACATGTAGGCCTAAAACTGAAATGACAAATTTGACAAGAATATTTTAAGTCTACATGCTTAATATGTATGTAGAAGTTAGAAATCACAATGAATAAAAGTAAAACGTTAATTTACATCATCATCATCCAGAGCATTATCATCATCATCCAAGGCATCATCATCATCCAAAGCATCAACATCATCATCCAAGGCATCATCATCATCCAAAGCATCAACATCATCCAAAACATCATCATCATCATCCAAGGCATCATCATCATCCAAAGCATCAACATCATCCAAAACATCATCATCATCATCATCCAAGGCATCATCATCATCCAAAGCATCACCACCATCCAAGGCATCATCATCCAAAACATCATCATCACCCGAAAACTCAAAAGAAACAACGATTTAATGATATGATCCATAATTACAGCATAATAATTCTGAGGTTTCAAATAATCAAGATTTATCGCTTAAGTCGATGTGTTTCTATGGCTTGTTTTTTTGTTCTCTGATCTGAAATTTTACATTGTCATCATTAATTATCATCATAATTAGCTTTTAGGAATTTTTTAAAACTTTTCATTACCGTTAATTTCTATGAAACCACTATATACTTGAATGTGTTCACTACATTTGATTATTTCAAAATGAATACTGGAATGAATGTATCTATAAAAGTCCCACTAATTTAGTAAGAACACATAAGCAGTCAATACTGACGCTTATATTTTTAAGGAGGAGAAGACGAACAGTGTGGCAGCAGCCTCAACAGCAGTAGGTCTCATTATACACAAAGGGAAAAGCAGGACTCTCCGATACAACACAGCATGCAACAATCCAATCACAATTGACGGAAAAGATTTGGAAGATATAAAAACCTTTACATATTTGGGCAGCATCATAGATGAACACGGTGAATCTGATGTAGATGTGAAGGCGCAGATCGGCAAAGTAAGAGCAACGCATCTACAACTGAAGAACATCTGGAATCCAAAACAACTGTCTGTCAACCAACACCAAATTCAGTAATTTCAAGACAAATGTCAAAACAGTTCTACTGTATGAGGCGGAAACTTGAACAACTACGAAAGCTATCATCCAGAAAATACAGGCGTTTATTAACAGTTGTCTATGCAAAATACTTCAGATCCGTTGGCCAGACACTATTAGCAACAACGTACTGTGGGAGAGAACAAACCAGATCCCAGCGGAGGAAGAAATCAGAAAGAAGTGCTGGAAATGGATAGGACACATATTAAAGAAAGCACCCAACTGCGTCGCACGACAAATCCTCACATGGAATCCTTAAGGTCAAAGGAGAAGAAGAAGACCAAAGAACACGTTACGCTGGGAAATGGAGATAGACATGAGATAAATGAACAAGAACTGGATGGAACTAGAAAAGAAGGTGGAGGGCAGAGTGTGTTCGAGAATGCTGGTCGGCGGCCTATGCTCGATTGGAAGTAACAGGTGTAAGTAAGTAAGTAATATTTTTATGGAAAAATGAGTTCGTATAGAGGAAAAAGCATTAAAAAAATAAACATTTTAAGCGATGGTGGCTAACATTGGAATTATTCAGGACACGCGTTTCATCCTGATAGTGACTATCAGGACTCAGTAGCTAAATGAATAACTCCATGGTATTTGAAGCGAACTATACCGGGTTCGAGTCCCGTAATGAACATCAACTCTATGATGTAGATATATCCAATTGACAAGTATAGGATAAAACGCACGTCAAACTGTAATCCATTACCAGTCATCATCCATCTCTGATAATCCGTATAGTATGTGTATATGCCAACAAGAGGACTGATCAGTAAAAGTCTTAAGCATCCATGAGAAGATTCACACAAACAATCATCAATCAACACTTAACATACTTCTTCCTCAACTTGTATTATACATTGGCAAATCATTAATAATGTATTAAAATCACAGCAGTAGTTCATGACATAAATAACATGACCTATCAGTGAGAAAAATAAACAAACAAACAAGACAACTATAAGTTTCTATTACATTCATAACAGAATCTTCTATTATATACCTTTCAATACTACTCATATCGGTGAATATTGATAGTAGAATATGATACATAATTGTACTAATCTAGAATACATCATCATAGTCAAATTCACCTGTCAACAAAATCTGACAGTCAATCAATAAGTTACCTTAAGTAAATCTAAACAACTCAATATAAGATCAAAATGAAAGACAATCAAGTTGAATAGATCAATAGTAATCATAGTATAGTGATGAATAACAATAAAATTAGAATTCGATATGAATAAAACGAACTCTTAGCCCTTGGTGTTGTTGTTGGTGTTTCTACTTACTTACTCAAGTTATTTCTCATGGAGAAGGAGTATAGGCCGTCTGTTAGCTTTTCTACATCCAACTCTGTCGTGGACAATCTTTACAAGTTGTTTACAACTGTTATTCATCCTATCTATATCTGCTTCCGATTCTCAAATCAGTGTGTTCTTTGGTTTTCCTATTTTCTGTTTTCTTTCAGGATTCAAAGTTAGCGCTTGCTTCGTGATGCAGTTTAATAATTTCCACAATGTATGCCCTATGTACTTTCAACGTCTTTTCCTAATTTACTATTCAGCTGGAAGCTAGTTTGTCCCCTCTCCCACAGAAGGCTGTTGCTAATAGTGTCCGATCAATGGACATTCAGTATCTTAAGTAGACAATTGTTTATAAATACTTGTATCTTTTTAATGATGGTCGCGGTAGTTCTCTAAGTTTCAGCTCCGTATAGTAGAACTGTTTTGACGTTCGTATTGAAAATTGTGACTTTGATATTGGTTGACAGTTGTTTCGAGTTCGATATCTTCTTCAACTATAGGAATGCTGTTGATGCTTTGCAAATCCTTGCCTGCATTAGATCATCCTTGTTCATTTATAATGCTGATCAAGTACGTGAAACTTTTCACCTCTTTCAGAGTTTCTCCGTCAATTGTGATTGGGTCGGTTAATTGTTATAAAACATTGCTATACGACTTGATATGGAAATACAGATAGGCAAAATAAAGGTAACCACTACCACCAATCTTACTCTGTGAGATTTAGTTTTTCCTATAATAGTGAGGATGTACCTTGATGTGAAGTTGCGAACTGAGACGATACATCTACTTAGTGCTTCCTACCTTTGTCTAGTTAAAGTCAGTCTGCAATATGATCTAATCTCAAAGAGAACAATGTTCATAAAACAAACTACAATCAAGTCATTACAGGAAAACATTCTTTTAATCAGAGACATTATATTGAAAGTGTAAAACTATCCACAGTGAATAATTGAATGTACTGGGTGAGAGGAAGCTGAGAAACTAAAGTGTAAACATAAATTTTCAAATGAAAGTTTAATTTATTCTCGGTGGTCGACCTTTGAGTGATGTCAGAGTGACCTTGATAGAGTCTACCTAATAACTAAGAGCAAGTGACGGTTATAAAGCAGTATGAGGAATTGGAATTATGATTTACAGTTGATAATTAGGGTTAGGAATCAAATTTAATGGTTTTAATCACGAACTGAGATCAACTGAAATGCCAAAACTCTATTTAGCTAAGTGAATGGATGAATTTCGCGCCCGAATTCGACACCTGTTATCTTATACGTGATTGGTCCGTCCATAAACTATAGTCTCTCCTTGTTCTCTATTATCTCCATCATTCTCCATATTTAGAAAATATGCAGCATCAGAACCTACGTCAACCACAAAAATCAACAAAAGGATCGCCCTACCACACATAAAAGGCGTATCAGAAGCCGCAACGAGACTGCTGAATACCTTCGGGATAGGTGTGGCACACAAACCGACAAAATCACTACAATCAATCCTATGCAAACCAAAGGATGAAATAACAAAGGAAAACAAATCAAACATCATCTACAAAATAAATTGTACCAACTGCGACAAACACAACATCGGACAAAGTAGACTCCCTCTTCACCTACATAAACATCAATTAGCAGTCAGACGCCATGATACTTCCTCCCTTATATCAATACACGTGGACAACTGCGGACACTCATTCGATTGGAAAAATGTGGAAATCTTGCACAGAGGAAATTCCAAAAACACCAGAGAATTTTTTGCAAGCCTGGCACTCAGGTCAATCAGCAATCAACAAGCATATTGAAATCGATCCAATTTATCAACCAATCAGGAAAATCATGCACAAACATAAGAACAAAAATCAAAACAATCGGAGACACAACCAAAACAAAGAAGTAAACAACGACAAATTTAAGGTCAATAAGAACCAATCAACGTCGAGGTGCACAGAACAAGCTTTGAGACACATATGGAGAAATTCAAACACTTCACTTCTATCTGAAGTTTGTGCTGATGATGTCGTTCAGAAGAACGATGAAAGCTCCACGACCAAACTATCCAACTCAGAGAACAAAACTCCATCAAAATCATCCACCTGAGCTACTAATCTTCTTCACCATCTCATGCATTAGCTGTTTGCTCAATGATAAATTAAAAACAGTCAGTCAGTCAGCTATAACGTAGGACCAGGCACGTAGAGTGCGTACGTCGAAAGCTCCAATGTGTAGTTTGGAGAGAGATTTCAGTAGACCTGGGACAGAGTTTTGAGCACTAGAATCGTTGGCTATGGTGACACTTGAGGAGGAAGCCGAAGGAGGAAGTTTAGGGTTGAAAGTCGATGTAGGAGGAATAATAGGAATTGAAGAGGAAGGTTGATTATGAATACAATGGTCTTGGGTGCTGTTAGAGGTATGAGGGCGGTTATCACTTCCCGGTTGCCCACACCGAGGAAGGGTTGTTCTGGAGGTGCCTGAAAAGGAAATTGGATTAGAGGCGGTCTCAGTGACCTGAGAGCGTGACCGCAGTGCCCAACTGCTTGAGGCCGGTCGCGCACGGCCTTTTTGTGGAAGGTTTTTGACGTGTTAGCTCCGTTCTTCAAAGGGCCTTACCGCCAGAGACGGAAATCCGTGAGGTAAGGTGAGGTCGACCTTTTTTAACCCCACCCCTCCTTGTGGGAAGGCAGCATCGCTGTCATTCTGGTTGTCCGAGGGAAACACCTTACTGCTGTCACACCTCTGTACAGTCAGCAGTACGACTTCGCCTTCGGACCTTGGGTTTGTTGCTTTTAGTCTTACCGCTCTTCAACCGACCTGTCTGACATGGTAGGACCTTGAGGAACGGTTGTTCCAGCCAGTATAGCTCGGTTGCTTCATCACGATAGGCAAGCCCGACCACCACGTCAAGGTAGCAACAACGGTCGGGAAAATTAAAAACAACACCAATTATGTAGAACAATAAAATATTGGTCATGAAATTGTACACATGGATTTATTGATTTGAAAAAAAAACCAACTTATAGTGGAGGTCATATTATATTTATGTTGAACAGCTTAACATTTAACAATAGACTACTTACATCTCAGGTAGAATTGAAGTGTTCTAATTTCTCCATATACGATTCATAGCTTGTCCTGTTGACCTCAATGTTGATTGGTTCTTGTTGACCTTAACCTTATTATTGTTTACTTCTTTATTTTTGGTTGTATCTCCTATTGTTTTGAATTATTTAGTCCTATGTGTCGTGTATGATGTTCCATCCAACTTAGACAATACGACTACCTACGCAACCAAACTTATGTTCACATTTCAAAAATAATTGTTTGCTAGTTGAATTCATGAGTCAATTAAAATTAGATTATCATGAAAAACCTGGAAGTAGTGGACAGTGATTTCATGTGTGAAACCGATAGGTCCTAGGTTCGAATCTCATGAGGCAGGATCATAGATACACACTGCTGAAGAGTCCTACAATAGGATGAAACGGTCATCCAATACTTCCAGATTTTCCATGGTAGTCAATTTTTAGCATCTTATCCTAATGACTTGAGATGAAAATTGATGTTCAATTCGTCATAATCCAAAATAACTTATTCATTGTGAAACTGTATAGATAAACATTTTACTTCAAGTGAAACATTGGCAAAGCAAGGGCCACATTCCTACAATTGAAGAATATATGGAAGTCAAAACAACTTTCAACCAATATCAAAGTCACGATCTTCAATAGCAACATGAAGGCAGTTTTAATATACGGAGCTGAAACTAGGAGAACTACTACAACCACCATCAAGAAGGTACAAGTATTTATAAATGGTTGTCTACACAAGATACTCAACATCCATTGGCCGGATATCATCAGCAACAACCTACTGTGGAAGAGAACAAACCAACTTCTAGCTGAATTAGAAATTAGGAAAAGACGTTGGAAATCGATAGGATATACATTCTGCAAATCATCAGACTGCATCATGAGGCAAGCCCCAACATGGAATCCTGAAGAGTAGTGGAAAAGAGGAAGGCCAAAGAACACATTACGTCGGATAATAGATGTAGATATGAAAAGGATGAATAACAACCGGAAGGAGTTGGAAAGGATTACTTAAGATAAGGTTGGATGGAGAATGCTGGTGAGCAGTCTATTCTCCTTCACGAGGAGTAACAAGCGTAAGTAAGTAAGAAACATATATTGGATAATTCTTCTTATTTTCGAATTATAGCAAATGTGGTGAGATTTATTTTCATTGAAATGCTAGAAGCTGTGGTTGTTTTTTATTTTTGTTAACAAAGATGTTGTTGATAATGAGTGACTACGGATAACTTTCAATCCAATTTCGGCCATGATTTACAAATATTGCTTCAGTTGATTGACACTTTGTAATGATGAGTCTTATCTGTTCGATCAATATCCAGTATGATTCAACATTGTCAAATATCATCATTAAGAATACCAATTTCGATGACCATATCCCTATGCTAAACCAATGATGAATCAAAAAGAACTAGCAGCTTTGAGTCAACTCTGAATATTTATTGATCCTCTGTATAGTAACCCTTTGTCTATCCCAGCCTGTTCAATTCAAAACACAAATATCAGACTCCAATGAGTGAATCTTATATTTCAGACATAATTAGTTTATATACAGACAGACTAGACAGCATCTGTTGAGCCTATGATCTCGAATATTCTATGAACTGTGTTTAAAGATGATAAATTATTGAGTTTCTGATGTACCATTCAAATTGCAATATAGTTCTTTCTGGATATGTGGACCTATGTCAATGTGATAAAACCTTTAGTAGTTGACTTCGTTGCGAAAATTTATAGTCTGAAATCATGGTCTGAATACAGAAAACCCTGATTCCAAACTAAAGGTGCACATGGGCTCCAGTGTCCTGAGGGAACA